TCGGTCCCATGTTTCAGGTGCCCTACCGTCATCGTGGGTAGCTCGGTCCCCATGTTTCAGGTGCCCTACCAATGGCTACCATGCCATGTTTCAGATGCCCTACCAATGGCTACCATGCCCAAGTTTCAGGTGCCCTACCAATGACTACCATGCCCATGTTTCAGGTGCCCCACCATGCCCATGTTTCAGATGCCCTACCATGCCCATGTTTCAGGTGACCTATAACCATGCCCATGTTTCAGGTGCCCTACCATGCCCATGTTTCAGGTGCCCTACCATGCCCATGTTTCAGATGCCCTACCATAGCCATGTTTCAGGTGCCCTACCATGCCCATGTTTCAGGTGCCCTACCGTCATCGTGGGTACCCCGGTCCCATGTTTCAGGTGCCCTACCGTCATCGTGGGTACCTCGGTCCCATGTTTCAGGTGCCCTACGGTCATAGTTGGTACCACGATCCCATGTTTCAAGTGCCCTACCATGCCCATGTTTCAGGTGCCCTACCAATGGCTACCATGCCATGTTTCAGATGCCCTACCAATGGCTACCATGCCCAAGTTTCAGGTGCCCTACCAATGACTACCATGCCCATACCAGGTGGTACTTCTTGGTGGTACTACGAGTTTCAGGCGGTACCTCTTTGTGGTACCGTGAGTACCTGGCGGTACTTCTTGGTGGTACCACGAGTTTCAGGCGGTACCATGAATACCAGGCGGTACTTCTTTGTGGTAGCATAGAGTACCAGGAAATAATTTTCTGTTAATTCTTCTATTTGAATCATGAAAAACCATTAAGCTTGTTTTTTTTCGATATGCGATTGATATCCATGAAGAATGAAAGCTTTCACGCTATTTAATTAATACAAAATACAACACAAAAAGAAACCTTATTTTTATTTGCCATCGACTCAATACAAACCTCATGTGATGTTGGGAGATGGTAGCTGTCAAAAGTTTTCTGGTTAATAGGTCATGAGAGTTGTATCTCTCAGACCAAACCGAATTTCTCTCAAACTAAATTTATTTGAGATTATTTTTTTTATAATAGAAATGATTTCGATGATATGCGTCCATTTTTTCAAGCATTCATTCGCATACATGTACAAATTTCTTGTAATTAAAACCAATTTCGTTATCTTCCAGTAGGTGAGCCTGTCGTGTTAGTCCTCTTTAACTCTTTCGTCAAATTGCAAAAAATATTTTTTATGTCGTCTGAACATGAAAAATACTCTACCATCTTAACGCATATGATGAACTCGTCAGTTCTTGGTTTACTTCCATTCAGTTCAGTGATATTCACGGTGTGAATGCCTTACTATTTGATCATCGAGCTAGTATTGTGTACCCATGACAAATAATAGAACTCAATATATCAACAATTTTAAACCTTTTTGCCATGCCTCTCACTTTCATATATTATTTGGTGCATTTGTACTTCGTTTGAAAAAACGCACAAGAAATTTCAAGAGAAATAATTTTACATCCACAGTAAAAGGCGAGCGGATCTGCTGGCCTAACGCGACGTGGTTCAGTCATCCGGAGACTGGTCGGCCGTGGACCAACTACACCAAGTGTGTCAACCTCTACAGCATGGAGGTGAGATTTGCTGCTTGTTATTGTTCAATTATCGATAAACAAATGCATATCAAATACTTAAAATTATGATATAATTTACACCAAGTGTGTCAACCTCTACAGCATGGAGGTGACACTGAGATTTGCTACTTGTTATAGTTCAAATATCGATAAACAAATGCAGATCAAATACTTTAAACTATGATATAATTTAGAGATAAAAATTCTATTCGATCTGTGAAGGTCACTTGTAAAAATATTGTTCAAGCTAACGAGAATCTTGGTTCACCCATCCGAGTTTTTGAGACCGCAAAATACTGTGAATGTTCTGCGATGTTAAGACAGGCCTACGGCCTACTAAACGCTGATCAGCTGCACAGTCCTACTTGTTCTTGTTCCAGCTGCAAAGTCCAACTTGTTCTTGTTCCAGCTGCACAGTCCTACTTGTTCATGTTCCAGCTGCACAGTCCCACTTGTTTATGTTTCACGTCTCCATTGTTTTAGTTTCTACCTCGCATTGCGTCTTTCAAGATTTTAATGGTTCGTGGTGCGTACAAGCGTTTCGGGAAGCTTTGTGGGTTTGATTGGGCGATGTCAACCTGAATGTACGAAAATTTGGAACTTATGGCCTGTCATGGCTGTTTTTCCTTCACATGTCAAAAAACAGTCCTTTGTTATTAGGCGTGTGAGGAAAATCAGTGATTGTAACCAATTAAAATTTGGAGTGACTACTGGAGGACTTCAACTCTCGCATGAAGATGTTAATAAGGAACACAGTCAATGAGAGCTCTTAGCTTAAATAAATAACAAACACGAGGAATTGATTGCTGACCAATCAGTTCCGACAACGGTCACTATGATACTGACCTCAATAAGCGGCCTAAATTTTTACAACCAAGCCATCCCTCAGCAGCCTTTTCACTTGATATCAGCCCCTGATAATTTATAGTTTTTCTTCTAGTTTGAAAGTTTGTATCCTTTTTTATAGTTCAAGGGTTTTTAAGTTATTTTACAGTTTAAAATATGTGCAATGTATATTCCCATTCTCATGTTTTTCTTTATTTTCTTTTTAACGCTTACCTTTGCTTCCGTTGTCCTTTTATCAGTTAGTCTACCAGGCTGTCTACTGTAAGATTTATTTTTCATGCATAGTAGACTGCAGGCGGGAACAGGTTTGTGGCATCTTGTCCGTTTCTCAGTGCCGAGGTGTGTGTGACGTCACCAACAGAACTGGTAGGCTGACATATATAGGAGATTGCGTATACGAGCAGCAGTTCGACAGGTAGTACCGCAACTTTGGCTGGCCGGGACAGCTGCTTTTGGACGTTCATGAATTACAGAAGTACAAATTACAATGAAGAAATCACAACATACCTATAAATTAAAATAACGAATTACTTAAGTGATTAGTACTTCATTGAAACGATGAGCTGATCAACGATGATGCAGCTCAGCACAGCGATGTCGGTCCGCAAACACAGTCAAGTTTGTTGTTGAGATTTCGACAAGTGACCTTGTCAATCAGGGGCTGTTGAGTGTAAATAATCAGGCCAAAAATGTAGTTGCTGCGATGCAAAGGAGTCTGTAGATTTTGTCGATCAGCTGGTGCAGTCCAGCACTATTAACTTCTATGTAAAGCTAATTGGTTGTAGTCATGAACGGCCACATTTTAGGCTACCATGACTTTAATCAAAAAGCCAGGTAAGTTTCTCGCTCAGATGACGTGTTGACGAGCAGTAATTGACCAAGATGTTGTTCATGATAGCATTCTAAGCTCATAGTTCATGGTAGCATTTAAGCGTGTACGTCTGTACGACCGAGGCCAAGACGAGAGGTAAGTGCCTCACTGAGATGACGTGTTGACGAGCAGTACAAGGCGAGCCTGGCGGACGGCCTCACGCAGGTGACGGCCTTCAACGCTGCTGGAGATGAGGATGACGTGTGGCCGTCGCTGAGTCCCCGACCGTCCCCGTCGGACTTGAGTCTAATATTACTTCTAATATTGAAAAAGTCTGTCGCATCTCTTTGAATATAGCTTCACGGATGGCCTACTCTTCGCTCAACATTCTGATTTCTCGTATATTCACAAAGAAAGAAGTGAGGCTCGCAGTTTAACATTTTGTCTATCATCGAATATTTGCCATTATTTGCACGATTTTATAATGAATTCAAGACAATTAGGCTCGGAATATTCATTAGTTCAATGGAAGCAAGTGATTTATACCGCTATGTATGTTGGCTTAATACGTTCCTCGCGTATCCGGATTTCACCTCTATTGCTTCATTACAGCAGGCTATGAGTGGTTGCTGTTTTATCAATAGAATTTTGTTTTATCGATTTGTTTTATTCGATAATTAACCTTTCGTGCGAACACAAATAATTTAAATACGGAAGATTAACAACGAAATCCTGATTTATTCGTGTTATATCGGAAATAAAATTTTGTGTTTGGTACACTCTTGTACCGAACACAGCAGTGGAATATCTAAATATGTTAGTACACATATGGTCAATTACGCGGTGAATGTGTTAAATTTATTTCATGCATTAACCATGTCAAACCTTCCCTCTGAACCCTCAGGCGGTGAGGGCAACCCTCATCCTGGTTCCCCTGCTTGGCCTTCACTATCTCCTGACGCCCTTCAGGCCTTCATCAGGCTCCGCCATGGAGAAGTCCTACCTCATCCTCTCCGCCATCGCCTCATCCTTCCAGGTGATGTTATCAATATAATATTTATTGAAGTCTTCGATGAGAAGAATGCGGGTCCTCCATATTCAAGATTTCTGGCAATGACCGTTTGAAAAGTATTTATTAAAGCTTTCTATGAAAACTATACACTTCTCTACATTTTATGTTTAAACTTGCTGTTAGAATCTCCCCTGAATCTAAATTCTATATCACGAAGTTAGATTCCACCATATTCGTATAAAATTCATTCGTTTAAAAGAAGTGGGCTCGGTACTATTTAGTTTAGGGAATTAATTTTTCTGCCCTACGTTGAGAGAACTACGTGGTCTTCTCATTAGGAGCCTTATATACAGCATTAAATCTAATAGCAGTAGCGCAATTATTTAGGCTTCTAAAACGATTCAATCATTGTTGAACTTGATTGTGTTAAAATTTGAACAACTTAAACAAAATCTTTGGCTAATTCACTACATGAACTGATCTATTTTGAATTCATTTTGTATTTTATGCTGAATGAACAACAATTGGATATTCCTTGGTACATTTTTTCTGTGCAATTTCTACCGCCTAAACATTGTAAGCCAACCTTTTGTTAATATTTTACACTGCAGTTCCACTGCATCTCAAACTTAACAGTGACAAAGATAATCTGCTCACTATTGAGTCAAGCTTCCTACGAAGCTGCCTCGTCAATATAACCTCCTAATGGCTGATTGTACACGCTAACCACGCGATCTCCTCAATTTAGCCGCAATCTCATCACAATCTCTGAACTTGGCAAGATAAGAACTTGGTCGACGCGCCTGTGCTGATGATTGATGCGCGTCACGGCTTAAAGAGACTCGTGCGTCACTCACGGCAAACTTGGGCAAATATAACTAGAATTTAGAGCACACTGGGCGTTAAAAACAGTTCAATTATTAAATCAATCGTTAATCCAATTATTAATTCTCATTGCGTGCTTTTTTATCATGTATTATTAAATGTTAAAGTTCGCTTATGGAGGTAATAATAAAATATCTGATTAAAATGTGTATATATAACAACTTTGAATGTCTGTTTACCTGATGATGCCCCAACATTCAAATCGCGGACTGCACCTCAGGTTCCGCCGTAAAGACATCATCAATAATGGTCGTCTTAATTCAGTCGTTCCAAACTTGACAAAGCATCTTACATTTTAGCAAATATCTTAATATGATAGCATTTATCGCTACAGGTTTTCGCCTCCGTTCACGACCTTCAGCTCTCAAAACACAAGCTAGCATTAAAACTTCAGCTATAAAAATTACGGCAGAAATATTGGCTGAGCTTCAATCGCGTAAAGGGTGCTTCGATCATAACGTTTATGGGTGAGAGGGCGGAGTTTCCATTTTAGAGGTTGTTGACGAGACTGGGGTATTTCTTACACAATTTGTGTTGACGAGACTGCGGTACTTCCTTCACAATTTGTGGTGGCGAGACTGTGGTATTTCCTTCACATGTTGGGTTGTTGAAACTGCAGTATTTCCTTCACAATTTGTGTTGTTGAGACTGCGGTATTTCCTTCACATGTTGGGTTGTTGAGACTGCGGTATTTACTTCACAATTTGTGTTATTGAGTCTGCGGTATTTCCTTCACATGTTGGGTTGTTGAGACTTCGGTATTTACTTCACAATTATTAATTGGCTACACCGCAGCTACACTACAATTGGCTACACCGCCAGATGCATCACTAAAGTTTACGGTTGAAGATTTGATTAACCATGTCTTGATGATGGTGTAAGTTTTGGTTCTTTCGTTGGTTGATCATAGTTGGAATTCGAAATTCAAAGCATTGACGCTGAATTTTTTGATATACGGAAATGAGATGTCACGAGTTAATTTTATAGCGAATCAAAATTCGGAATGTAGGATCGTTCGTCATATGAGAATATGAGTATTCTCTTGATGATTTCAAGCAACATGGCAGTATAGAATGAGTTTTCAGGAATTTAAAAGCAAAGAAAACAGCCAGAATATTAACCATTTCTTAAGAATGAAAACGTTTCGGAGTCCAGCTCCATCGTCAGTTCAAAGTTCAAAACCTATAAGAAAAGCAGAATCACTGTCTCTTATACACATCTAGATGTGTATAAGAGACAGACAGTAGGATTACCGCAAGGTTTAGTTCAGCAATAAAAAGTTACTGAGAATATCTCGATGTGAATAAGATTGTTGTCAGTTGCGAAGACTGAACCCAAGATTTTCAATAACTGCTCTTTAATCTTGAAACTATTAGCCTACTTCAGTTCATTCATTTGATTATTTNCCCTCTTCTCCCCTCAGCTGCAGCAGCTGTTTAACGCACCTGCCCTCTTCTCCCCTCAGCTGCAGCAGCTGTTTAACGCACCTGCCCTCTTCTCCCCTCAGCTGCAGTAGCTGTTTAACGCACCTGCCCTCTTCTCCCCTCAGCTGCACCAGTTCGTCAACCTGGTCTACGTCGTGGGCTACGCGGCCTCAATAGCGGCCATCGTCGTCTCCCTCTGCATATTTTTCTACTTCAAGTGAGACCTTCACACTCAGAGAATTCTGTGAGACTTTGTCAAAAGAGCGGTGATTTTTCTAATTTTTTTGAGGGTCATCCTGACTAGTATTTCCTTGAAAATTAACGTATTAGTGCTGCGTGTAGAGAATGTCTCATTATTTGGACGATTTGACCACTGACTTTTCTGAGGCCACAGACAGCAACGAGCACTCGTTTAAAGTTCCTAAATTAGGTCGTGATAGTAGATGTAAATTATAGCGCTCATGAATATTAATGGGTAATGTTGTCCAAATAGTGACACACTTTCTTTCCCGCAGCACGAGCAAAGGGCAGACGTAGCACTGATACGCCTGTTTGCCAGACCAAACTGGGTCAGAATGACCCATTCAAGGGCAATGAGTGCATTTGTGTTTGGTCAGATTCACACTCATTTTTCAGGATGTGTGATTTTGGAAGTTGGCAAAGACTTGAAAACCTGAAGTTTGTATTCTTTCATGCATTCTCCCTGAAAAATAGAAAGAAAATTGGAAATAGTTAAATTAATGGATTAAGAACGTCAAATTAATGAATTATTAATGTTCCATTCATGGATTATGAATGTTCCATTAATGGATTAAGAACGTTCCATTAATGGATTCTTGTCATCGTTCCAATCGCTCGATGATCATTTAGAAGTTCAGTACAAAGGCGATGCAAGACATATGGTCAGTGAGCTGAATTACGAACGATGCGTCGTCTTAATAACGACGTGACTTCTAATTTTCTTGCTTGAGTTATACTGGCTTTTAATATTTCATCCGGAGCTCTGAACCAACCATGACATTACATACGTTTAGCTTGAAAATTCCAGCATTTGTTACTAGGATACAGTAACTTATTATATATTTAACGATTTGTTGATGATTTCCTAATTGAGTTTACTAAATTTTTCTGTTCAGTCGTCAAAATTATTTTTATTTTCATTCATATAGCTCAGGAGGACGCGTTATGTTTGCTTCAGGTGCCAAACTATCATCGCCGATTTCGCGGTCCCATGTTTCAGATGCCCTACCGTCATCGTGGGTACCTCGGTCCTGTGTTTCAGGTGCCCTACCATGCCCATGTTTCAGGTGCCCTATACCATGCCCATGTTTCAGGTGCCCTATACCATGCCCATGTTTCAGGTGCCCTATACCATGCCCATGTTTCAGGTGCCCTACCATGCCCATGTTTCAGGTGCCCCACCATGCCCATGTTTCAAGTGCCCCACCATGCCCATGTTTCAGATGCCCTACCATGCCCATGTTTCAGGTCGCTGAAGTGCACGCGTGTGAGCATCCACAAGAATCTGTTCGTGTCGTTCCTGGTGAACAACGTCCTGTGGCTCGTGTGGACCACCGTAGTCACCAGCAACACCCGCGTGCTTCTGCTCAACCCTGTGCGTCGTTCACGTATTGAATATCAGCTTAAATTGTGAAATAATTATCATAGGACAAGCGTAATAACACGTATTGAATATAAGCTTAAACTGTGAAATAATTATCATAGGCATGTGCATTAATAGTTAACAATAGTGTTGACAGAAGGAAATGTGAAAAAAGTGATTCGTGTCAAATTGTTAAAATTTTGATGCTAAGTAACATGCATGGTCCTGCGTGGGTTGTTGAGACGGGAAATTTGGTTGGGGTTTTAATTGTTGCATTATTGGAGGAAGTGGAAACATAGGGAGTTTTTAATGGGGGGAAATTTCAGGAAGTTGAGGTGAAACTTGATGTGTTGAGAATAGATTGTCTTATTAGATAATTGATGATCATGTCAATTATTAGTTTGGGGTTTTGAGTAAAAGAATGCGAGCGCGCGGTACGAATACATTTCTTCTTTGGTCACTTCTTTGATCGTGCACTGCATTTGTTAGAATAAATATCGGTCTTGTTGTCCAATAAATTAAATCTAGATGAAATTTGAGCAATCGTCTTACATTTCATTAAAAGGATGGAAAGGGACTAGATCTCTAAGTCGATTAACTACAAAATTAAGAAAATATTATTTATCGCTCTGAATATTCGTACACTGCTTGTTCCTGCATATCAAACATTGAAGTACAAGCAAAAACTATAATATCATCTCTAGACGAACCTAATTTCGCCAATTTGCAGAAAAACTAACAAAAAAATGATTCCTTCACCCATTCTGTTCTCCATTACTATCGCATCGTTTGGATACACTGACCCATAATTAGGTTGCTGTACATGTCTCTACATTTTTACTCGCAGTCAATATTTTAGTTAGTTAAAAGTTAGAAATATCGGCCCGTTTACTATACTATGCCATAGAATCGAAAAAGTTTATATGTTATATAAACGCTGTTATATGTTTTCTCTTGTGGAAGAAGCCTCATGCCTCCTACACTGACGAAGTCAATAATGTTAAAGACATCGGGGATAATCAAACAACACTCAAATTAAAATAGTTCCTCGATTTTATTTGAATTTTGTGATTTATACCTTGAATTTATAAGAAGTTTACAACCCCTCGTCTGAGTTTACACCGCGTTGCTCACCCCGCGCTGTGCAGGTGTGGTGTCAGCTGCTGCATGTGCTCATGCACTATTTCCTGGTGAGCACCTACTTCTGGATGTTGTGTGAGGGCTTGTTGCAGGTGTGGTGTCAGTCATGTGCTCATGCACTATTTCCTGGTGAGCACCTACTTCTGGATGTTGTGTGAGGGCTTGTACCTACACACCATCCTCGTCGTGACGTTTGTGGCCGAGGGGCGCCTGCTCCGCTTCTTCCTCCTGCTGGGCTGGATCTTTCCGGTGCCTCCTACGGCGCTCTACGCCACCTTCAGGAGTCTTGACGTGCACGTGACCAACCAGTGAGTAACTTTACGGTACTTCCTCCGTGACCAAACAGTGAGTAACTTTATGGTACTTCCTCCGTGACCAACCAGTGCGTAACTTTATGGTACTTCCTCCGTGACCAACCAGTGCGTAACTTTATGGTACTTCCTCCGTGACCAACCAGTGAGTAACTTTATGGTACTTCCTCCGTGACCAACCAGTGAGTATTTTAA